GGCATTTCTACTAGTTACCTTCCCTCTTCCAAGCAAAGACTCTCAAAAACATTTTTTTTACTTATTTTACATATGAAATACAGAAAAGAAATTTTAAACAACTGGACAGAATGATCAGCCAAATGTCACAAGGACTATGTCAATTCACACTGCTTAGAACACCAGGCGATTGATGACAATAGTCATGACACTTCAGATGCAGGCCAGTAAGAGGCTAAATGCCTCAGGAGAACACAGCCGACCAAAGGCAGAAAGCAGAGCAGACTATAGATGGAGGCTCAGAGCCCCTCCCACCTCCTGTACCTCCATCTGTGTGGACCCCCAGTGCTTCCTCATCAAACACACTGACCCAACACACTCATGAGGCTGTAGCTCATGTGTCATGTGTGCAAGCCTCACCTCCCACACTGTCCCTTCCCAAAAGTCACCATCAGGCCCAGGGATCTGTGTCCAACAATTTCCAACTTCTTCCATTTGTCTGGTATGAAAAGGAAGGACTATCTTTGGATTTGTTATTGTCAGATGGTCATGACTTTACCATGTTAAGAAGCAGGCTCAGGGGAAGGTAACAAGGACATAGCCAAAAAATATTTTTTTTTTTTTGCAGGGGGAAGAGGAGGAGGAAAAGGAGGAAAAGAGATGAGGTTCAAGAAGGGGGAGGGGGGGAAGGGGAGAAGAAAGAGGGTGGTGGCAAAGAAGCTTTGATTAGACCAGTTTCTAAGTCTAGCCCTTGAAGATATGTTACTAGGTTAAAAAGTGTCATCTACTACCACTGCCTGCTCCACACCCCACCCCAACTGGCACCCAAACTGCTCCAGAAGCCCAAGGCTACCACCTCACATTTCTGTAGCACCAAAGTCCATCACAAAAGTAAATGTCAGGGCTGGGAAGAGAACTTCGTGGCCATCAGAGAAATCTGCTTGTCTCTCTCTGGAACATCAGCTACCAGCTTAGGAAGAAAAACTAGCTCTTTGTTCTTGTTGTCTCCTCTTCCTATTATGTAAACTTAGGCTCTGGGCATGCAGAAACTTTTGATGCTGTCAGTGATATTAAAACTGAGGAACACAAATCTAAGCAACACTACATCCACTATTGTTTCTACTCTTAATTAGTTGTTACCTCCACATTAAGAATAAAAAACAATTATATCAACAAAGGGAGTACAAACTCTAAAATAAATTCACATGAAACCAAAGATTCACCACAGGAAATAAACCAAAATTCTTTACATCTATAACAATGAAAACACATGCCATCTATAGCTCATAAAAATCATAGACGCCACTAGCCAGAAAATTTAAATTTCTAGGATTAGGGAAGTGATTTAAAGGTAGAACATCTGGTTAGATTGTGAAAGGTTCTGAGTTTGATCCCAGGACCAAGAGGAAAAAGAAAAGAAAACTTAATAGTGAGGTGCCAGTGGGTTGCACCTGAAATCCTAGCTACTCAGGAGACTGAGTGAGATCTAAAGATAGAGGTTCCAAGCCTCAATCGGCAGGGAAGTCCTTGAGACTCTGATCTCCAATTAGCCACCAAAAAAGCCAGAAGTGGAGCTGTGGCTCAAGTGGTGGTGTGCTAGCCTTGAGGAAAAAGGCTCAGGGACTGCTTCTAGGCCCTGAGTCCTGAGTCCTGAGTTCAAGCCCTAATACTAGCACAAAAGAAAGGGGGGGAAAAGTGAGAACAGTCATACAGATCTTCTACCCAGTACCCTTCACTGTCTCATATACAATGCCCTAACATCTGATGAGTCAATAGTCCAATTCTGTAGATGACAGTCAATGTTTTTTATTCCAAATGTATTCACACAGAACTATTTCTAAATAAGTGCTGAAATAAACAATTTGATCATTGCTCTCTTAAGAAAGACTTTCCAGTAAATGTTCCTTCACAGCTGGATAGCTGCTTTAATATCCAATTGCCCTAGGCCACAGGGGGAAAAAAATCAAGCTATTGATTTACTTAATAAAATAAATAAATAAATCTAGAACATGCTAAAGATCCCTTCATAAGTGAAGGAAGGAAGCTGGTTGGTTTGCTTTTCTGCACAAACCATCTCTACCTCTGAATGAATTTCCTAAACCCCACACTCTATCCCAAGACCATTGATGAGAACAGCCCAGGAAAGGTGGTAAAGGCACAGTGCACAGACATGACCAAATTCACTACTCAGTCCATTCAGGCACCCCAGAGCACCCCAACTTGTGCCTCAAAATGTCTGGGGAATGTCAGGGCCCACTCACACCGGCTTTGGATATCAATAAGCAGGAGAACCCAGAGGGAGTTTTCCCACAGGCATGAGGCTCCGGTGACTATGAATGCCTGCAATACCAGAGGGCAGGAATCTGACTGATACTTGGCACTCTCTCTCCACAAACAACTTAAAATTGCTTTCTAAACCCAAGCCCTGACCGTTTGGAAGCTGGAGCACAGGGGGCAGAGGTGAAAAAGAAATAAACCCATCCTGCCCAGCCCCTCCCCCGAGGTCACAGTGCAAACCAAAGGCCATTAGGGGAGGCAAGACTACTGCTTTTGTAGGGCCAAAGCAGTAAACAGCAAGCATGGCCATAACCCCGTGGGAGCAGGAGAACTTGAGAACTGGCATTTCCCTCACCAGAGGTAAAACAAGAACATGACTTGTCAGCTGGAGAAAAAACAAAAAGCCCACTCCTAAGTCCTCCCAAGAGGAGGGGGGCCGGGCTGGAGGAGGAAGAGGAGAGAGGACACAACTGTCTCTCTGCAATACTCAGAGAAGGGAGGGAGGTGAGAATGAGGATAAAGAGCTGTGGGCAGCTGCAACCCCCTTTCCAAAGGACACAAAGCTGCAAGGCCCAGAGACCTGAAGGGGGAGCAAATACAGCACAGGGAAAAAGGGACACCTGAACCAGCTCAACCCTCCACCCTCCACCAACCTTAGTACAAGTGAGAGCAGTAACCAATCCCCATCTATTTACCAGATCTCACAGATCCCCTGGGGACAAAATCCGGAGAGAATCTGCAGCCTGGATCGGCGCCTAGAGAACCCAGGGCCCAGACTAGCCCCTTTCTTCCAGAGCTGGGGCTGAGGGCTGAGAAGCAGGAGCGGAGACAGACATGCCTGAACCCGGGAAGCCCTCAATGGGAATGGGCGGGCCACCAGAGGAGAGCACAGGGAGGCAAGTCTGATGGGAGAGGAACCTGACAGGACATGGAGGGGGAAGGAAGACAAGGTGAGGAAGGAAACATGCCGGGGAGGAATGGAAAGCAATGGGCATCCATCAGAGAACTGAGGCAGTGCCAAGAAGGGGAGGGGTAATGAGGAGGTTCATGGCAGAACTAGGGGGAAGAGGACTCAAAAGAGGGGCAAAAGACAGCAATTGAGGAGCACAAATACAAAAAAGTGGGGGGCAGAACTGAATGGAAATGGGAGGGACAAAGTCAGATGGTGAACTTAGAGCGGAGAGGGGCAGAGGTAGAACACAGTTCTAAGACCAGTGCTACAGAGGATCACTTCAAGAGGTGCAGCAATAGGAAAGTTAAAAATGGGTCAAAACATAGGCAGGCAAGTGGACAGCTGGGGAGAGGAGGTAGTGAGGGAACACTAAACAAACAGGAGGGGGCTGAGCAGAGCTAACCAGAGAGAAGGGCAGGTGTGTGAGCCCTATCCAGGAGCAGACCTACCAGAGGCAGAAGGAGAAGGGGGTGGGCTGGGATGCAGTTTACAGCAGGTACAGGGTGAGTTTAGGGGCAAGTCTGAGAAGGGCTACCAGAAGGGGAGAGGATGGAAGCAAAAGGGGGGCAGCAGCAGGTTCTAGACAGAAAGGAGAGGAGGTAAATGAATGGAGCCGCCCGGAGGAGGGCCAAAATGAAGGTGCAGAGGAGAGGACGGCGCAGAGGATACCGGGCAGAGCTAGGCTAAGGGAGACTGAGTGGGGAGAGAGGTCAGGTAAGCGATGGCAGAAAGGTCAGCGTTTACAGGGTCCGAGCAGGGGGAGGGAGTCCTACCCCGGTAGGCAGAGGCTGAAAGCCAGCAGGCCCCGGAGGCATCGCACAGCAGATGTGAGATCCAGCAAGGAAGGGGTAGCAGAACTGAAAGGCAGAAGGGTCTGGAAACGTGGAAAGGGCCCGACTGGCAAAACGGGAGCCAGAGCTGGGAAGGGAGGAAGCCGACCACGGTGCATCCAAGTCCGACCAGGGTGGGAAAGCAGCAGAGGAGCACCCCGGGGGTGCAGCGGGTTCTGCCAATAGGCCGGGATCAGAAACACACAGGGCAACTGGGCCCAAGAGGGAGACGGAATTAAGTCCAAGGGAAATTCCCAGGAACAAGAGACTGGCACTCAACCCAGGTCTGAATGGATCTCCAAGGAGGTAGAACGCAGGTCCTAAAGGGACAGCTCCTGGGTGGGGGGGGGGGGGAGTGCAACAGGCTCAGGGAACAGGAATAATAGCAGACAGATCAAAGAAGGGGGCTGCGACCGAGCCTCATGAAAGAGGGAGAGCAGGGTCATCTCCAGAGTGGGCGCCAGAATTAAGGGGGTGCAGCCGGAGGGGTGACCGCGGAGGAGGAGGAGGTGGGTCCGAGGAGTACTGCGGGGGCCCCGGAGGGACGAAGCGTATTACGCGGGGAAGAGGGAAACGGAGCGGGGGGGGGGGGGTGGTGAGGGGAGTGGGGGGAATAGAATTGGAATCGGGGTAGCTGAATTCGGGGAGGCCCTGAGACGGACACCGAGATCCCAAGGCGTCGGGGGTTGGGGACGGGCGTGGGGACGGCCGGGCTGCGGTGGTCAGGGGCCGGTCCGCGCGGCAGGCGGGCCACGCAGGCCGGGAGCCCCGGCGCCGATCGGAGGGGACGGCCGGGCCCGGGGCGCCGGGGGGGTGGGGGCGCTCCCTCCCCTCCCCCTCCGGCTCCTCCATTGTTCGCGGGCTCGGGGCCCCGTCGTCCCCGCCTCCCCCCCCCTCCTTGGACCCCGCATTGGGGCGGCGCCCGGCCTCGCCGCCTGGGTCCCGCGAGCTCGCGCACTCACCAGCTGCGCGCCCTCAGCGTGGCCCGGGCTTCCAAGATCCCGGCCTTGGCGACGGCGGCCCCGGCGCCATGTTCCCCTGCTCCTCGTCCAGCGGCGGCTGAGGCGGCGGCGGCGGCGGCGGCGGCGGCGGCGGGGGGCCGGGCGGACCCTCCCTCGCGGGCTCCCTCCTCCTCCGCCTCCTCCACCTCCTCCTCCCGCCGCGCCGCGGCTCTCCCTCGGGGCGGGGGGGCGGGGAGGGGAAGGGGGGAGGGGCGGGAACCAGGGGGAGGGCGGACCAGCCTCGCTCTCTCGCTCGCTCCCTCCCTCCTTCACTCCCTCCCGCGCAATGGCGACGGGCGCCTCCTTCCTTCAGCCGCCGCTCCCGCGCGCGCGACCCCCGCGCTACTGCGCGTGCGCGGCGCGAGGACCGTTGCAGGGGGAGCGCGCGGACGGGGGGGGGGGGGGGCGGGAGCTGTGTGTGAAGGATAACGGCCCCCCGGGCGCGCGCCGCAGTCAGGATGACCCAACGCGTGAAGACCAAGTCGCGAGGGAGGGGGGGAGTGCACGCTGCAAGAACGGGCGCGGAGGGTGAAGTGCGCGTGCGCGCCCCCCCTCCAAGAAAATGCCGCTACTGCGGCGGTCGCGGCGCGCGAGACACAGCGCGAGGAGACACCCACGAATAAGCCGCGGCGGGGGGGGGGGGGGGGGGGGGGGAGGAGGAGAGAGAGTCGGCACGTGCGCATGCGCTGTAGGGAATGCCAGCCGGCGCGGCTGGCAGGCGCAAAACAGAGGGAGTGGCCCGCGGGAGCGCGCCCGAAGCCACCGAGCCCCGGCCTCGAGCTGCCTCCCAGAGAAAGCCAGAGCAGAGGCTTGGCCCAGCTCTCGAGGGGGAAGCGAAGGGCGCGATCCCGCTCGCGCGGGACCTAGCCAGCCAATGAGACGCAAGAGGGGGGTGGGCTTGCAGCTTCAGCCGCAGCCCCCGGGATAACGGAGTAGGACACTGAAGGGGCGACGTAGCGTGGGGCAGTGAGGCGGGGCTGGGAAGGAGGGAGCGCACCAGCGGAGGCGTTGATTGGTTAGCGAGAGGAGGCATGGTCCGCTTTAGACCAATCCAAGACGTGCCATCTATGGTCCCGGAAGAAGGGGCGGGGCTAGAGAGCGCGTGCTCCTTCGCCGGGCAGTGAAGAAAATCTGTAGGCAATGTGCGTTGGTTACAAGTTGCTCCTGGTTCCATGAGCGTTTGATCCTAGGCGGAAGAAAGACTGGTCCAATTCTGCGCTCAGCCTTGACCACCAAATCAGCCTTGTGCAAATTAATGCAAATCAAATGTCATTTGAGGGGCTGGGAGGGTGGCTTAGTGGTTGAGGGCTTGCCTAGCGTGCATGAAGTCCTGGGTTCGATTCCTCAGGACCACATAAACAGAAAAAGCCAGAAGTGGTGCTGTGACTTAGGTGGTAGAAGCAAAAAGAAACAAAAAGAAGCTCAGGAACAGTGCTCAGGCCCTGAATTCAAGCCCCAGCACTGGGGCAAAATGTCATTTGAGGGGATGGTAGGTCACCGCTGTAACCCTCGACACCCCTGGGATTCCCGCGGAAGTATGGATTATGGAAGATGAGCTTTCCAGGCGCCAACACTAAAATTTGTGGAATGCATGAAAAAAGCCTGTTTCCTATTCCTGTTTTGTATTTCTTTCCTCCTTGGTATTTACCTCTACAAAATGGGGTGGTGATTTTCCCTTTCTCAAAGCATTGATTAGATAATTAAAGTTCAAATAAGCCTGGCGCTGATGGCTCACACCTACAATCCTAGCTACTCAGAAGGCTGAGAACTGAGGATCATGGTTCAAAGCCAGCCCAGCCAGAAAAGTCCCCTTGAGACTCTTATGTCCAATTAGCCACTCAAAAACCGAAAATAGTGCTGTGGCTCAAGTGGTAGAGAGCTAGCTTTGAGCACAAAGAAGCTCAGGGACAACACTCAGGCCCTGAATTCAAGCCCCACAACTGACAAAGAAAAAGTTCAAATAGTCCTCAACTGTATACTCCAAACCACCTGAAACCTGTATATATGATTTTTTTTAATGTTTGCCCTTCTACTTATGTAGCTATAATAAGGTTTAATTTACTAATTCAACAGATAAAGGGATTAACAACAGAAATAAAGAATAATTATAGGCTGGGAGTGTGGCTTAGTGATGGAGTGCTTGCCTAGCATGCGTGAAGCCCTGGGTTCAATTCCTCAGGACCACATAAACAGAAAAAGCCAGAAGTGGAGCTGTGGCTCAAGTGGTAGAGTGCAAGCCTTGAGGAAGAAAGCTCAGAGAAAGTGTCCAGGCCCTGAGTTCAAGCCTCAGGACTGGCAAAACACCACCACCACCAACAACAACAACACAATACTCTGCTGAGGTTAATGTGAATATGGTATTTTGCTTGAAAAAGACAAGATAAGTAACTGAAACTTTGGACAGCAAAAGTAGCCTTAAGGGAGAATTAATGCAATCTGTAAAGTGCTAAAAATTATGGTTTTCACATAGGACTTATACAAGCATTAGTAAATAAAAGACATAAGTTGTAAAAATATGTGCCATTTAGTAAAGCATTTTTGATTAATGACCATTTCCATGACCATTTTGTTTTGTTCTGTTTTGTTAGAGATAGGGAACGTTCATGTCAATTGTCCTTCCTCAGCCTTCTGAGAGTTGGAATTAAAGGAATGCACTATCATGCCCAGCTAATTTAGTGCTTTTTTATGTATAAAATCTAACGTTTAGATTAGTGGCAACTTTTAAATCTTTTTTTACTCACATAGGCTGCCAAGTCAGATTTGTAGAATGTCTGCTTCTCCTTTTTAATTTTGGTTTTAAGCTTTTGGAGGTAATACTGGAAAGGTAAGAGTGGGGAGTGATATCCTTACCTCAAATTAATCTTTTTGAAACACCTACACTAGGCCTTGCAATCTTGGGAAATTGGCCAACTGGCAGTACCTAACTCCACCCAGATTCTCCCTTCCCCTTTTGGATCCTGTCAACCTCATCTGATGCATTGTTTCAAAGGGAAATCACTTCCTCAGGGTGGACTCCCAGATGTGGCCTGATTGACAAACTTCTGCACTTTTAATTAAAAGGAATATTCTGTGTTAAGGAATATCCTAACACATTTTAGACAGAGTACATCAATTTGCACACTAACTATCGAAAAAATTATAGTGCCCAGAAGTAGCACATACTGTAAGTGGTATATTGGATACTCAAAGTAAGGGTCAAGTGACTACATACAAGTTACTTCTTCATAGTACTCCACTATGATTTGAGGGCCTGTAGTGGTTAGGTGTCCTTAGAAAGCTCATTTCCAAAGCATAGCAAATAGTGCACAATACTTGTTTACTGGGGAGCCTGGTGGTACATGCTTATTGTAATCCTGGCACTCAGGAGGCTGAGGCTGCAGGCTCTCAAGTTTGACTTTAGCCTCATTACATAGAGCGATACCTTAAAAGTAAGGTTCATCTCTATAATCCTAAGTATAGAGGAGGCTGAGATCTGAAGATCACAGTTCAAAGCTAGCCCGGATAGGAAAGCCCTTCAGATTCTTATCTCCAATGAATCTCCAAAAAGCAAGAAATAGAACTGTAGTTCAAGCTGTAGAGTGCCAGCCGTGAGTGAAAAAGCTAAGGAACAGCGTCCAGTCTCTGAGTTAAAGCCTTAGTCTGGCGCGCGCGCGCACACACACACACACACACACACACACACAATTTATTAGTAAATAAGTAATCAGTTCAATGATAAAAGGGGTAGAAGACCCTGGAAACATAGCCAAAAAGGCAAGGTCCTTGTTTACTAAATCCTACCCTTATTTCAGTACTAGTTCATATGTCCTGCTTGGGTTAGGTGGCCCATCTAGGTTCCTACAGCCACATCTAGGTCCCTAACCCAGCCCTTGAACTCCCTGGGTCATTGCTGTCTGGTAGTAGGTCTTTGTGTCTCCTGGTGGAAAGGCAGGGCTGGAGCTCTCTCTCACTCAGGCATCCTGAGATCCCCTGGCTAGACAGGGAGCCGGGGCTCCGGAAAGAGGGCCTTTCTAGCTCAGCAATTCTTGCAGCTGAGCAAGCCTGAACTACCGGAAGCAGGCTTCCCTGGGGGCAGCCCCTCCCCCTGGTCCAGCTACCCTCCCATCCAGAATAAATAAACAAGCTAATAAACAATTAGCCGACAGAGAAAAGTCCTGGCTGCTGGTTTAGGCAGTTATCAAGAGTTCCCAAGCATTTCCCTAGAGGCTGGAATGGGCGGAGGCTACAGCCACCAAAAAGAGGCCAGAGTCTGTACTATGTAGGAGTGAGAGAGTCTGGATCCCCATTTCAGAGATGCACGGACAGAAAAGAAGAAAAAAAAGTCCACCAAAGAATTCTGTGGGGGTGTGTGTGTGGTGGGAAGTGTTCTGTTGTCCATTCTCAGAAATCAGTTGCTTGGACTTGGAGATGTTCGAGGATGCTGTCAGCTCGCCTGTCATTGGCCAGCAGGGCAGCCAATCAAGAGGCAGGAAAGAGAGTCTGGGCTGCTTCGATTGAGGTGCCGCTCAATCCCAACGCACCTGGCCCAGCCTTGAAACGTAGCCTGGCAGATGCTAAATATTTGAAGGGGAGGAGGCTCGAACCGCCTATCTTCACATACTTTACAAATTTAAGTATGAAGTGCACATCAATTGCAAGGAAGCATCTCAATGAATATTCACCAAGAGAACACACCTGTAACGCCCCCACAAAGGAGACCTAGCTCTCAGAATCCCATACCCCCATACTTTCAGGTTCTCTCCTACCTGACAAAGGGAACTTTTCTCTACACTTCTATTATCATGAATTTGGTTGTGTTTATTTTTGTTTTGTTTTGTTTTGTTTTGCCAGTCGTGAGGCCTGAACTCTGGGCCTGGATGCTGTCCCTCAGCTCTTCAGCTCAAGGCTAGCACCTTACCACTTGAGCTACAGCATCACTTCTGGCTTTTTCTGCTTATGTAGTGCTGAGGAATTGAACCCAGGGCCTCATGCATGCAAGGCAAGCACTCTACCACTGAGCCACCTTCCCAACCCTGTGTTTTCCTTTTTTTACAGGCCTTGACAATTTGCCCAGGCTGGCAATTCTCCTGCCTCAGCCTCCGGTGTGCTGGATGACCAGCTAGAACCACAACAGCCTTGATGTGTTTCTATGTGAAGAGCATCTTTAGGGAATAGAATGCACAAATCTTCATGCCTTATTTCCTACTATGTAATATTTATTTGTTTGTTTATTGTCGGTTTCAGGGCCTGGGCATTTTTTACTCAAGTATAGTGCTCTACACCCCTAAGCCACAGCACCACTTCCAGTTTTCTGGTGGTTATGGTTAATTGGAGGGAAGAGTCTCCCAGACTTTACTGCCTGAGTTGGCTTTGAACCTCAATCCTCAGATCTCAGCCTCCTAGTAGCTATGATTACAGGTGAGAGCCACTGGCACCTGGATTATTTATTTTACAGTGCTAGAGATCATAGGTAAGATTTTTACCTCCAAATTCTATTTTTTTATTTTATTTTTTGACAAGGGATTAAATTACGGCCTTATATTTGCTAGGCGGGTGCTATGCCACTGAGTCACAACTCCACCCCTTTTGTATACTATTCCTTTTCGTTTGTACTGGAACTTGAACTCATGTCCTCATGCTCTTGCTTAGTTTTTTCACTCAAGGCTGGAGTTCTGCCACTTGACCTACACTTCCACCTCCTGAATTTTGTTAATCAGAAAGAAGTGCCTCTCAGATTTGTCTGCCTTGGCTGGGCTTGAACCTTGATCCTCAGAGCTCAATCTCTTGAGTAGCTAGGCTTCAGTAGCTAGCTGGTGATCCACAGCACCCAGCAGCAAGGGATATTCTTCACACAGGGTCTCAGTTCTTGCCAGTATACCTGTCTGGACTTTGATCCACCTGTTTACCCTTCCCATGGCACTAGAATGACAGACATGCACCACCACAGCCATCTACTGTCCAAAAAAAGCCTTGACAACTTTTTCTGCTCAGTCAGACCTTGAACCAAGATCCTTGCTCAATATCCCAGCAGCTAGGATAACAGGTGTGAGCCACCAATGTCCAGCCTTTTTTTTTTTTGTCAGTTGTATTGCTTGAACTCTGGGCCTGGGCACTGTCCCTGAGCTCTTCAGCTCAAGACCAGTGTTATACCACTTGAGCCACAGCACCACTTCCAGTTTTCTGGTGGTTAATTGGAGATAACAATCTCATGGACATTCCTGCTCAGGCTGGCTATGAAGCTCGATCCTCAGATCTCAGCCTTCTGAGTAGCTAGGATTACAGGTGTGAATCACTAGCACCCCACCCAACTTACTTTTTTTTTTTTTTTGGTAGAGGTACCAAAGTTTGAACTCAAGATCTTTTACTTTCTCTATGTGTTTGATGTATAGCTGGTACACTGCAGTTTGAACCATACCTTCACCCCTGTGTTTTTCTACTTAATTGGAGGTGGAATCTATTAGGCTTTTATGTCTTGGCTGACTTCAAGACACTATCCTTTAGATCCCATTCTCCTAAATACGTAGGATTACTGGTTTGAGTCACTAGAACTTAGCTTGGTTCCAGATTTTGTTTATTTTTGTTTTGTTTTTATAGTATACATCCTATCGATGGGTGGAAAGTGATTAAGCTTTTGCTTTGCAATTTCCCTAATGTCAACTGATGTTAAATATTTTTTCATGTGATTCATTGGTCATTTGTAGATCATTTTTAGGGAACTATCTATTCAATTCTCTGTCTATGTTGGGGTTAAGTTCTGTGGAGTTTGTTGTGGTTGTTGCTGTTGAACTGTAGGAGTTTTCTGTATTCTGGATATGAATCTCTTATGAGAAGCTCAGTTACTTGGGAGGCTGAGGCAGAAGGACCAAGAGTTTGAGGCTAGCATAGGCAAGTATGGTAGTTCATAACTGTGATTCCAGTTCTCTGGACTCTGGGACAGCACTACAATGGCTTTTTAGAAACTACTTTTGCTAAATAACACTTTGGCCCAAAGGTTACCCCAAAACAGGGGAAGAGCCTGGTGTCTCCAACCTCATTTTGAATCGTCTGTCTCTTTTGTCTTAAAACTGGGAACCAGACTTCTGCATAACTGCATGTTAATCACTAAAGGACTGTCTAAAATCTTAATCATCCCCTCCAAAAGCCACAGGAAACAATTTTCTGACCCTGTGATTCTCCATCCCAAGAGTCCTGCAGCGCCCCCTACCAGCAGGCAGTAGTTACAGAAAAAAACTGATCTCTTACACTTTACCCTTTAATCCTCTTACATTGTAGCAATACAGATGTGAAGAAAGCCTGGACTACTGACCTGTAAACTAAGTTTTGGCCCCTCTGGCTCTATTTTTGCTCGGTTAACCTTTAACCTTTTCCTGATTCTCTCTCTCTCTCTCTCTTTCTCTCTCCCTCTCTCTCTCTCCCCAGTAGTCATTTTGGGAAGGCCTGCCTAATTGATAAACATCTACCCCAAGGCAGCAATGCTTTTCTTATCAGAACAAGTGGTAGCCAGTGATAAAGATCAACCAGGCCACACTAGGACCAAGACTCATTAACTGTGCTTCTTGCTTGTTTTTTTTAAATACATATAAACTGGTAGCTCATGTCAGTACCTTAAAGACAGTGTTGGGGAGGGGGAGGGGGGTCACTGAAACTCTTTATTCTTTCCCATATTAGCTGCTTTAAATAAATCTTCTTTCTCTACCCTTTGTCACCACTTGTCCCTTCAATTGGCATTTGTTACCCAGGGGGCTGAGCCCAGTTTGAGACTCTCCAAGTAAGGAGCTTTGCCCTAAACTTCAATAACAGGAGGATTGCAATTTAGAGAATGCTCTGGACTGGACTGCATATATGTATGTTTATTTATTTATTTATTTATTTATGCCAGTCCTGGGGCTTGAACTCAGGGTTTGGACACTGAGTTTTGCTCAAGGCTAACACCATACCACTTGAGCTACAGCGCCACTTCCAGCCTTTTCTGTTTATGTGATCCTGAGGAATGAAATCCAGGGCTTCATGCATGCTAAGCAAGCACTCTACCACAAAGCCACATTCCCAGCCCTATGAATGTATTTTTAATTTTGAGAAGCTATTTTTTTTTGGTAGTACTGGGGATTGAATTCAAGGACTTTCCTATGTTTGACAAATGCTCTATCATTGATCCTTATCCTCAGCCCCAGACTGTATAACCCAAAAATCACAGAGCAGAACAGGCAGGGTGGATCATGCCTATATCCCCAGCTAACTTGGTATGGGGAGACAAGGAGTGGCGATTCAAGGCCAGTCAAGACATGTTCATGAGACCCCCAACTCAATGTAAGTATAAGGCATGGTGGTATGTACCTGTGATCCCTGGTACTGGAAAAACACAAGTAGAAGAATTATGGTCCATGCTGGGCACCTGTGGCTCCTGTCTGTAATCCTAGCTACTCAGGAGGCTGACATCTGAGGATCCTGGTTCAAAGCCAGCCCAAGCAGGAAAGTCTGTAAGGCTCTTATCTCCAATCAAGTACTCAGAAAAAGCTGAAGGTGGCACTCTGGCTCAAGTTGAAGACTGCTAGCCTTGAGCACAAAGCAGCTTAGAAACAACTCTCAGGCCCTGAATTCAAGCCCCAGAACCAGCAAAAAACAAAACAAAACAAAATCAATAATATAACATAAACAGTGATATAACTAATATATTATCTAGCTGGGTGCCAGTGGCTCACACCTGTAATCCTAGCTACTCAGGAGGCTGAGATCTGGGGATCAGGGTTCAAAGCCAGCCCAGGCAGCAAAGTCCTTGAGACTCTTATCTCCAACAAACCACTAGAAAACTGGAAGTGGTGCTGTGGCTCAAGTGGTAGAGTGCTCGCCTTGAGCTGAAGAGCACAGGACAGCGCCCAAGCCCAGACAGAGTTCAAGCCCCACGACTGGCAAAAAACAAACAACAACAAAAAAAAACTAATATATTATCTATCTATCTATCTATCTATCTATCTATCTATCTATCTATCTATCTATCTATCTATCTATCTATCCATCTATCTAATTATTTTTGTCTCCAGGCCTGGGTGTTTTCCCTAAGCTCTTCTGCTCAAGGCTACTGTTCTACCACTCTGAGCCACAGCTCCATTTCTGGTTTTCAGGGGGTTCATTGGAGGGAGATGAGTTTCACAGATTTTTCTGCCTGAGCTGGCTTTGAACCATGATCCTCAGCTCTCAGCCTCTTGAGTAGCTAGGATGACAGGTGTGAATCTGTCAAATAGCTAATTAGCGTCCAGTTTGGTTGGGTTTTGTGTTTTGGTACGTTAAGCTACTGCCTTGGTCTCAATGTATAAGCATAAAAAGATAGTTAACTTTCTGGCTAGACTGGTGTTACCACTTGAGCCAAACCTTCAATCTGGGGCTTGAACTTGGCCTGGACGCTGTCCCTCAGCTCTTCAGCTCAAAGCTAGCGCTCTACCACTAGAGCCATTGCGCCACTTCCGGTTTTCTGGTGGTTTATTGGAGATGAGAGTGTCACGGACTTTCCTACTCGGGCTGGTTTTGAACCGTGATCCTCAGATCTCAGCCTTCTGAGTAGCTAGGATGACAAGCATGAGCCACCGGTGCCCGGCTAGTTTGCCTTTTTGTTGCTTAATTAGACATGGAGTATAGGACTTTCCTGCCTTGGCTGGCCTCGAACTCTTGTCCTCCCATCTCCAGGCTAGAGCCACTGGCGTTCAGTCCAATACAGTTTCTTACTTAAAACGGTTATTTCGAGCACTCTTTTTTTTTTCTGGCGGGGCAGGTGGTGGTGGTGGTGGTGGTGGTGGTGGTGGTGGTGGTGGTGGTGGTGGTGGTGGTGGTGGTGGTGGTGGTGGTGGTGGTGGTGGTGGTAATGGGTGCAGTCGAACTACATTTCCCAAAATGCAACGCTCTTTGTGTGTGCCGCCAAGCATGTGGGGATTGTAGTCTTCCGTAGAGAACTAGTTCCACAACTCCCAGCATGCGTTTGTTGTTCGGATCATTTGGTAGAAAAGGGCAGTCGCGCAGCATGTTGGGAGGCGGACCCGACTCTTCCTTGAGGAGTAGACTCGTTGGTGGGGGGGGGGGGACTACAACTCCCAACAGGCTGTGCGCGTGAAGGCGGGCGGGTCCTTCTGCCGGAAGTCTGCGCCAGCCTTTGGGGGCCCCCACAACTGCAGCCGGAGCCAGAGCCGCCCAGTAGCAGCGGGGACCCGGGCCGCTGGGGTCCGAACGGGGGTCGTCATGGTAACGGGGGCGCGCCACACCGGGGACGAGCCGAGACAGGGTCGGCGCGCGGGCAGTGCCGGCCTGGGTCGGCGCCGGGCGCCGGTCCCCTCCCCCAGTGGTGGATGGTCCGGGCCAGGCGCGGGCGGCGAGGATTGAGGCCGTGGGGAGATCCAGAAGGGGAAACAGCGTCTGGATTCTGCGCTCGGGGGTGCTCTGGGGTGTCCGCCCAAGGGGGCATTGGAGAAGAAGGGTGGGCGATCGCAGGTTTGGAAGGGGCCTTTGGAAACTAGAGACGCAGCTGGTGAGGTCCGATCTTGGCGGGGGGGGGGGGGGGGGGGGGAGTGCAGGCATTGTAGTGGGGAGGAAGCGCCGGAGCAGAACCGGGGTGAGGGGGTCCCCGAAGTTCAGGAGCTGGCCCTGCAGGGGCAGAGGGGATGTTAGGACCGGAGAGGATTTGGCTGAAGGAGAGAATCCCGGGGAGGGGGTGGGGAGGCGGGGAGAGGCTGGATACTGGGAAGCTGAAGGTAGGAACTGCGGAAACAGTGGATGGAGTCAGAGCCGGTGAACTGCACCCCCAAGGCTTGGAGCTAGGGTGTGCATCCCAGAAACAAATAGGGAGCAGATTTCAGGAGGAGAGGCTTGGGGCCAGGGTACAGAATAGGCTTGAAATTGTGACATTTGAGGGGGACTTTTGAGGCAAGAACTGAATTTCGGATTTAGAGGCCATCCTGCTCCCACCCCCACTCCAACGTGGAGCTTTGAAACTAAGAAGGGTTGTTTGGGCGGGAGGAAAGGTATAAGAACATGGACGAGCCTCCCCAGGAAACAAGGTCCTTGGAGGTAGGTAGTGACCTTTGGAATAAAGGATGTGGCCTTGGAGCTGGAGAAGGGTTATTTGTCTCCAAAGAAAGACCCATTGAGGCTGGAGGTGGGGAGGTCTAAAAAACCACTAAAGGAGCAAGCGAAGGAGTGGCAGACACACTAGGGTCCTCAGGAGGTGTTGAGGGGATCTGAGAATGAGGGAGCTGTCACCCCCAGGCTTGCCTCTAGCTGCTCTAATTATGTGCTCTCGGGTCTCTGAATTCTGGGGTGCTCACCCAGCCCCTTCCTGTCCTGCCCTGGTCCTCTGTCCTGTGAGGAAGTGAGTTTCACTGCCTCAGCAGAGGAGTTCCTAGGAGAATGTAATAATATCCTGTTCCTTTCCAGCTTGGGGGAGAGGGGTGCAGATTGAGTGTAGACAGCAGGTTTAAGAAGAAGGACCCATTTCCTCCCCCCATTAAGGAGTCAGGGCTTCACACAAGTCAGGAGTTTGGAGGCTTAGAGGGTCTAGCTGTGAGATCTCCTTTCCCTGACCCATAAATCGTCTCATAATAAAATGGGCAATAGCATGCCAGACTCAGGGGCCCAAATCCAGGCTTCCTCACAGAGGGGACTTGGACAGCGCTGTCTCACTTCAATGTCAAATAACAAAGCCAGGCACTGGTGACACACGCCTGTCATCCTGAGAACTGAGAAAGATAGTTCAAAGCCATTATGGGTAGCAAAGTCTGTGAGACTCTTTATCTCCAGTTAACCAGAAGGCAGTGGAGCTGCCACTCAAGTGATAGAGTGCCAGTCTTGAGGAAAAAAAAAAGCTAAGAGGACAATGCCTAGGCCCAGAGTTCAAGCCCCAGAATTGGCTTAAAGAAATAAATTTGAGGTGAGGTCTATCCCGATGGAGCATCTGTGGCAACACATCGTTGGAAACGCCTCACAGAGTAAATATGTGGTGTGCTTTACTCACAGGACTATTCTCTGTGTCTGTGGGAAGTAACTGCAAGACACAAGGAAAAAAAAAGAAATAAATTTGTGCCAGGCACTGGTGGCTCACCTTTGTAATCCTAGCTACTCAGGGGACTGAGATCTGAGGATTGTGATTTGAGGCCAGCCCAGGCAGAAAAGTCCATGAAACTATTTCTAGTAAGCTTCTCAGAAAAGGCTGGAAGTGGCACTGTGGCTCAAATGGTAGATTGTGGAAGTGGCGCTGTGGGTCAAGCGGTAGAATGCTCGCCTTGAGCTGAAGAGCTGAGGGACAGCGCCCAAGCCCAGAGTTCAAGCCCCACAACCAACCAAAAGAAAAAATTCAAATGGTAGAGTGCTAGCTTTGAGGACAAAGAGGCTCAGAGACAGTGCCTAGTCCCTTAGTTCAAGCCCCAGGACCAGCAAAAACAAACAAAAGCAATTTGGGATAGATAAATTATATTTCAAGGTTTTTAATTGTGTACTAAAAAGGAACTGAAGCCAGGCACCGGTGGCTCATGCCTGTAATCCTAGCTACTCAGCAGGCTGAGATCTGAGGATCGCGATTCAAAGCCACCCTGGGCAGAAAACACCATGAGACTCCTATCTCCAATATACCACTAGAAAACCGGAAGTGGGTCTGTAGCTCAAGTGGTAGAGTGCTCGCCTAGAGCTGAAGAGTTGAGGGCCAGCACCCAAGCCCAGAGTTCAAGCCCCATGACCGACAGAAGAAAAAAAAAATTAAAAAGGAACTGAGCTAGATAATTCACACTTGTAATTAAGCTGCTTGCGAGGTAGAGATCAGGAAGACATGGTTTGAGGCTAGCGGGGGCAAAGTGTTAGAGAGACCCTCCCCCCCCCATTTCAACAAACAAGCCAATTATGGTGTTTGACATTTATGTCTCAGCTATGCAGGAGGCAGAAAAAGGAGGATCACAGTCCAAGGCCAGCCAAGCAAAATAAAGCAGAGGGGACTAGGAAGGTGGCTCAGTGATAGAGAGCTAACCTTGCATGTATGGGGTCCTGGGTTCGATTCCTCAGCACCACATAAGCAGAAAAGGCCAGAAGTGGTGCTGTGCCTCAAGTGGTAGAGCGCTAGCCTTGAGCTGAAGAGCTGGACAGTGCCCAGACCCAGAGTTCAAGCCGTACAAATGACAGAAATAAATAAGTAAAAGCAGAAAGGGCTAAGGGCATGGCTTTCACTTGCTAGCAAGCAAAAGGTCTTGAGACCAAACTCCAGGACCACCAGAAAAAAAAAAAAAGTTTATAAACTTAATTTTGAAAACACCCTAGCAAAATAAATCTTGAGAAATTTGCTTGGCCAGTGAGGAAACAGGCTTCAAGAGGCAAATAAATGCTAGAGCCAGGCATGGGAGTACACCTCTGTAATCCCAACATTTGGAAGATGGAGGCAGGAGGATCATGGAACTGGACTCCATAGTGAGACCCTGTCTTGAAAGCTAAACCATAAAAGGCAGTGATGGGACCTGGGACTTGATCAGCCATTGAATAGAAGGGAGGCTGGAGGGGCCCAGAGGGGTGGGGGTGTGTGTGTGAGGGCTGCACCCTATCTCCCCTGTGAGGATGGGTGGGGCTCTTGGGCATTGCCCCGCCTCCGGCTTCCCACCTTGCCTGCCTCTCACTCTACTTCCTCTGCCTCCCCAGATCCGCTTCATCCTCATCCAGAACCGGGCGGGCAAGACACGGCTGGCCAAGTGGTACATGCAGTTCGATGATGACGAGAAACAAAAGCTGATCGAAGAAGTCCATGCCGTGGTCACGGTCCGGGATGCCAAGCACACCAACTTCGTGGAGGTGACTGCTCCTTCCCTGCCTCCCACACCTCCCCCACACCCACGTCTTCTTACTTTATTATTTTTTGTTGTTGTTGGTCGTGGGGCTTGAACTCTGGGCCTGGGCGCTGTCCCTCAACTCTTCAGCTCAAGGCCAGTGCTCTACCACCTGAGCCGCACCACCATTTCCGGTTTTCTGGTGGTTTATTGGAGATCAGAATCTCACAGACTTTCCTGCCCAGGCTGGCTTTGAACCTCCATCCTCAGATCTCAGTCTCCTGAGTAGCTAGGATTACAGACATGAGCTATTGGCACCCAGCTATTTATTTTTGGTTGTGGGGCTTGAACTCAGTGCTTGAGTGCTGTCCCTGAGCCTCTTTGTGCTCAAGGCTAGTGAGCCACAGCTCCATTTCCAGTTTTCTGGAGGTTAATTGGAGATAAGAGTCTCAAAGAGCCAGGCTCACCTGTGGCTCATGCCTGACATCCTAGCTACTCAGGAGGCTGAGATCTGAGGATCGCACGTCAAAGCCAGCCCCAGCAGGAAAGTCCATGAGACTCTTATCTCCAATGAACCACCAGAAAAACAGAAGTGGTGCTGTGGCTCAAGGGGTAGAGCACTTACCTTGAGCTAAAGAGCTGAGGGACAGCGCCCAGGCCCTGAGTTCAAGCCACACAACCTACCAAAAAAAAAAAAAATTTAAGAAGAGTCTATCTCAGAAACAATAAAAAACAACAGGCCCCAAATTCAGTTCCCAGTACCTCAAACTAAAAGGAAATAAAAGAGGAAGAGGGTATGTGGAGATGGGGCAGTAGCGTGGTGGAAGGGGCCGGGGAAGACCCGGCCAGCTGGAAACAGAGGGCCATTTATCCTGGGACTGTGTGGGGGCCTCACTGTACCCCTGCAGAAATTAACCAGAAGCTGAGCTCCCAGTACCAGGACTGGTTGTTGGCACCCAGAGCTGCCACTAGGTGGCTCTACACTACCACCCTGACAGCCTGTACTTTTTTCCTCCAGATTTTGGCCAAATTCTTTGCACTCCAGTATGCATGTCCATACGTATATGTTGGTTTGGCAGTACTGAGGTTTGAACTCGGGGCCTCATGCTTATTAAGAAGGTGCTGTACCATTTGAGTCATGCCTCAGCAAGATCTAAACCTTATGGAGTGGTAACAGGAAGCTCAGAAAGTCTCAGATGTTGATCCCCCAGTGTGGTAGTATATGCCTGTAATCCCAGCACACAGAGGCAGAGGTAGAAGATGGAGATTTGAGGCCAGCCTGGGCTACAAGGCCTGAGTTGCCTTGGTGACAGTGGTGATCCCCCCCTCTCCTCCAGGACAGAGCTGCTGCTCACGGAATGCGTGTAGTTACCAAAGGAATTTACCCAGGATTTTTATTTTTTGAAGTCTTAACATAGCCCAGGCTGGCCTCAAACTCTTTTTTTTTTTTTTTGTCGGTCGTGGGGCTTGAACTCTGGGCCTGGGCGCTGTCCTTCAGCTCTTCAGCTCAAGGCGAGCACTCTACCACTTGAGCTACAGCGCCACTTCCGGTTTTCTGGTGGTTTATTGGAGATAGGAGTCTCACAGTCTTTCCTGCCCGGGCTGGCTTTGAACTGTGATCCTCAGATCTCAGCCTCCTGAGTAGCTAGGATTACAAGCGTGAGCCACCAGCGCCCGGCTGGCCTCAAACTCTTGATCCTCCTGCCTCAGCCTCCTGGGTGCTGGGATTACAGGCGACTGCTTCCACATCCATTGGGCAAGGAATTTGACTCCCAGGGGTCATAGAGGGAGAGGCCCGGGTATGGGCCTGGTGGATGTGCCTGGCTTTCCCTCAGTCTGGGCTTTTGTGCAAGCTCCTCCCTTTCTGGAACATTCCTGCCTGTCCTGCCCGCTCCCACCTTTGGAAGGAACATGGTTGCCCCCTCCTTGCTGCCTGTTGCACCCCTGGAATGAGCAATCGTGGGAGGACAGGGCTGGGCCCGGCTTTGCTGGGCACCCAGCCAAGGGTGCCCCGCGCCTGCCCTCACTCAAGACCCCTCTGCCCACAGTTCCGGAATTTCAAGATCATTTACCGCCGCTACGCCGGTCTCTACTTCTGTATCTGCGTGGACGTCAACGACAACAACCTCGCCTATCTGGAGGCCATCCACAACTTCGTGGAGGTGTGTGGGTGTGTGCGTGGGGGCACCTCGCTGTTCCGCCCTCAGCCTGGCTCTGCCTGGTTGAACCCTGCCTGCTCCCTCCGGCCTCGCCTCTCCTCACCTGCCTTGACTCTTTTTTTCCCCCTTGGAGGCACTTGGGTTCAAACTCAGAGCCTTGTGCTTGCCAGGCCAGGCGCTCTATCACTTGTGCTGCACCTCCAGCCATGTTTGCTAATAGCCTTGTGTTTGTTTACACCCAGAGTGATCCTGCAATGTCCTTCTTGTTTATATTCCCCAAATGTCTGAGATGACAGGCATGTACCGCTGCACCCATGAGCTATCATGCCCAACCTGATTGGCTGTCTTCAGGCCATAGGTCTGTACCTCTTTTGTCTCCTCCTTAGGTCTTTGTCTGCCTTTTTGTTTTTGTAGAACTGAGTTTTGAATTCAAGGGCCAAAGCACTCTACTTTTTTTGTTGTTGTTGTTGTTGGTGGTGGTGGTAGTCGTGGGGCCTGAACTCTGGGCCTGGGCGCTGTCCCTCAGCTCTTCAGCTCAAGGCGAGCACTCTACCACTTGAGCCACAGCACCACTTGCGGCTTTTTTTTCTTTCTGCTTATGTGGTGCTGAGGAATCGAACCCAGGGCCTCATGCATGCAAGGCAAGCGCTCTACCACTGAGCCGCCTTCCCAGCCCTGCTCCCTACTTCTGAGCCATACCCCAGCCCTGTCTGTCTCTTCTTCAGTTCTTGTTTTGTTTTTCCCCTTGCCATTTTGAGATAGGGTCTCACTGTGCAGCCCAGACTGACCTTGAATACAAGATCCTCCCATCTCAGCCTCCCCAGCAGCTGCGATTACAGGCATGTCCCACCACCCCTGTGCCTGTTCTGTCTCTTTAGGATGATCTTTGCTCCTCCTCCTCTGCGTGGCTCTTCCAGTCCTCGCCTTCTCTGTCGCCCTCCCTTCTCATGCTCATGACCTTGCCCTGTGTCTCTGCGACCCCCTCCCTGCCCAGCTCTTATCATCTCTCCCTCTCCCAGGTCCTAAATGAGTATTTCCACAATGTGTGCGAGCTGGACCTGGTGTTCAACTTCTACAAGGTAGGCTCTGGGGCAGGAGATGGGTGGGGGGTCCCCACGAGTCCCATTTCCAGGCTCTGAAGGCCTGAGCCCTCCCCCCCCCCCTTTCCCCCACACCCTCACATGGGCCTCCCGGCCTCCCTGGGCGCAGGTTTACACGGTGGTGGATGAGATGTTCCTGGCGGGGGAGATCCGGGAGACGAGCCAGACGAAGGTGCTGAAGCAGCTGCTCATGCTGCAGTCCCTGGAGTGAGGGGGGCGCCGCCCCTGCACCCCACACCCCTGCCCCCCTCAGCTGCCCCCAGGAAGGACCTCAGGAAGGACCGGGGGTGTCCGGACCGCGGGACAGGAGACCGCGCCCCCCCCACTGCCTCGGGCCGCCCTGGTGTTCCCAGTGGCCGTCACCATGCAGCGCTGTTCCTTGTCTGTGATGCTGTGCGTGTGTGCGTGGAACCCCAATAAACCTGTGGTCCTGCCTGGTCCTCGAGGTCTTCCCTGGAAACCCCTCCGCCGTGGGCCCAGAGTCCCTATGCACGTGCTCGCCTGTCAGCCATACTGAGGCAGCTGAGGTCTGGGGTTCCAGGTTCGAAGCCAGCCCAGGCTGGAAATTCTATGAGGCTCTTAGCTCCAGCTAACCACCCAAAAGCCAGAAGTAGAGCTATGGCTCAAGTGGTAGAACACTAGCCTGGAGCACACAAAAGCTGAGGAACAGTATCCAGGCCCTAAGTTTAAGCCCAAGTAATGGCACAAAGTAAAATAAAATAAGGGGCTGGGAATGTGGCATAGTGGTAGAGTGCTTGCACAGATGTATGAAGCCCTGGGTTCAATTCCTCAGTACCACAGAAAGTAGTGCTGTGGCTCAAGTGGTAGAGTGCTAGCCTTGGCCAAAAGAAGCTCAGGGACAGCGCCCTAGCCCTGAGTTCAAGGCCCAGGACTGGGAAAAAAATAAAATAAAATAATACTCGCAGCTAATATTGACAGCCCTGAGAGAAACTAGTTGGTGAATTCCATTCTATTAGCATTGTTACAGTGTAATCATAAAACAGCATATTCCTTTCCTACTGTTGCTGTAACTAGTCACCAAAACTTGGACTGCGCACCTGTGGCTCTCACCTGTAATCCAGATACTTAGGAGGTTGACATTGGGAGTATTGTGGTTTGAGGCTGAAAAGCCCATCAGACTCCATCTCAACCAAGAACATTACATGGTGATGTGCCTGTTACCCTGGTTACAAAGGGAAGCCCAAAATAGGCAATGCTGCCCGAACAGGAAAGTGAGACCCTATCTTAGAAATAAGTAGCTCAGGGGCTGGGAAGGTGGCTCAGTGGTAGAGCGCTTGCCTTGCATGCCTGAGGCCCTGGGTTCGATTCCTCAGCAACACATAAGCAAAAAGAAAAAAGCCGGAAGTGGAGCCATGGCTCACATGGTAGAGCGCTAGCCTTGAGCTGAAGAGCTGAGGGACAGTGCCCAGGCCCAGAGTTCAGGCCCCACAACCGGACGCAAAATAAATAAATAAATAAATAAATAATAAGTAGCTCATCGGGGAGGGAAGGGATAGTGGGAGAACAATAAAGGAGTGAGTAACAATTCTTGACAAGAAATATACTCGTTACCTTACTCATATAACTGCAACCCCTCTGTATAGCGTCTTTACAATAAAATAATTTTTTTTAAAAAAAGTAGCTCAGGGCTAGGAATGTGGCTTGGTGGTAGAGTGCTTGCCTAGCATGCATGAAGCCCTGGGTTTGATTCCTCAGGACCACATAAACAGAAAAAAGCCAGAAGTGGCACTGTGGCTCAAGTGGTAGAGCACTAGCCTTGAGCTGAAGAGCTGAGGCGCAATGCCCAGGCCCAGAGTTCAGTCCCCATGACTGACAAAAAAACCCAAAAAACTCAGGGACAGTGCCTAAGCCCTGAGTTCAAGTCCTAGGATTGGCTTAATAAAATACATAAATAAAATAAACAGCTCAAAGAAAAAACCGTGGGGGTGTGGCTCAGCAGTACAGCACCTGCCTAGTAAGCCCAAGGCTTTAAATAACAATAAAATAAAAATAAGGTGGAGAGCTTGCAATTGAGATCACTGTGGACCGTGTGAATGGCTAGTTAAGTTACACCCAATATCCACCAGCGCAGAGCAGCTGGTGAGGAGGCCCAGGGCAGTCCTGGCAATCTGCCCTGCAGTTTCTTTCAAGGGTAAACACACTTCCTCTCTGACTCAACAGTCCAAATCCTGTCTGTATAATACATTAAAAAAAAAAAATCACAACGGCTGAGAAGCAAAGGCACCTGAATGGCCATCTGTGTCAGACATGCTCTATCTGCACAAGGGCAAGTATGGCAGTACATGCCTGCAATCCCAGCACTCACAGAAGCCTGAGGCAGGAGACTTCTCAACTTTGAGGCCAACCACAGAAATGTTGGAACTTGTCCCATATCACTGAGACAGAGGAATATCTACAATAGGTAAAGAGCTCCAGTAAATCAATAAGAACTAGGCAAACAAGTGAATAGGAAAATGTGCCAAAAGGGAAAGTGAAGCCATGGGAGGTGGGCGGAGGAGGATGCAGTTGGCACACCGGATGGCAGGTTGGATTTCTACCTCCTAAAGTACACAAAAGATGGGCAGGGGCCTGCTGGTAGTTGTCAGAGGCTGGGGGGTAGGGGGGAATAGAGCTGGCAGAGGGAAGGGAGCCTCTTTAGCCTGGGTGAAAGCAAGTTCAAGGTGGAGCGGGAGAGTTTGTTCCTGGCCTGAGGAAAGGAAAGGCAGGCCGAGCCCAGAGGGAGAATGTCAGCTGGGAGAGGAGCTGGCGCGGAGCCTCCCACCTGCCCCAGTCCTGTCATGGTTGAGAGTCAGAGCATGCCTGGCCTTCTGGCTTCCTGTGTGGCCAGGTGGGCCCCTCCCACTGAATACAAGAGTCACCCACCCCAGAGTCCCAAAAGACCGCAGAGACACAGCTGTGGCTCCAGTGGTAGAGCACCAGTCTTGAGTACAAAAGCTCAGGGACAATGCTCAGGTTGAGTTCAAGCCTTAAGATTGGCACACTCCACCCCACCCCACCCCCCTAAAAAAGAGAAAAAAATTACTATTTAAACTGTCACTAATATTACTAAGAAGCCAGGCACATTACACTTGTAATCTTAGCTGTTCAGGAGGATGAGATCTCAGGATCGCGGTTCCAAGCCAGCCCAGGCAGACAAATCCTGAGAATTCAAGATCTCCAGTTAACCACCAGAATGCTGGAAATGGAGCTGTGGGTGCAAGTGGTAAAGGGATCAGCCTTGAGGGATAGTGCCCAGGCCCTGAGTTCAAGTTCCACAGTTGGGGTGGGGGGGTGGGCAGGAATTAATGGAAACCACCTTTTCAGCCATTTCTTCTCAGTACCTCAGATCTAGCTCCTGGGTTGCTTTCTGGTTGCTGGCCTCCATAAGCTCATCTGTGCCTCTGAGCCACCTTACTTTTTGGTCCTCCTGCCTGCCTTTCCCTTCCCAGCCAGACCCAGGGTTCCTGAAGCCATGAGCTCTTCTAAAACACCCTGTGCTTCTGGGTATGATGTGGTCTCTCCTCACTTCCTCCTAGTCCCTGGCAGGGCGCCAGGTGGAGGGACTGGTGTCCAGCAAATATTTGCACCCCAAGGAAGGAAGCCAAGATGTCAAGAAGAGGCAGGGTGGGGAGGAGGTGGGGAGGGAAGGAGGGGGGGGAGGGGGACAGGAGGTTCTGGGACCCTGGGGAAGTTGGATCTGGCTGCCTAGAGGGAGGAGAGGAGGATGGGAAGGAAAGAGGGAGGGTGGAGTGGGGAGGAGGGAGCAGGAAGGCCAGATGTGAGCCTCACCTCCTCTTTGGGACATGGCCAGTAAAAAAACAAAACAACCTTTTCCCCAGGGATGCTGGGAAGTGGCTGGAACTCTGGGGAGTCTTGCTATATTGGGGCACAGATAATTGAGGTGTCTCTCTGAGAGATCCTCAAGTCAGCTTGGAGGGGCTGAGTACCGGGGAGGGCCAGGCCTGGCCTCCCAGAACCTTCTAAGGCTTTCATGCTGAACATTCCACTGTGGGAATGTTCTGGAATGGGCCAGAATGGCTTGGCAACCCCAGCTGTCCCTTCTGCTAGGTCATTCCCCTCCCCCTCCCTTCCCTTCCTCCTCCAGGCTCAGGCTCACCCTCCTCTCTCCTTCCTCCTCCCCATCCCCAGCACAGCTCTCCCCCTCCCCCTCCCCCCACCCGAGGGCAGGTACTTTTTATTGAGGGGGGGAGGAAATCTCATAGGTAATTGAAGACACATGGCCTGCTTTGTGCCACAATGGCAAGGGATCGATGCACAAGTCCTCCCTCCCTCCCTCCCCTCCCTCCTCCCCTTCCCCCTCTCCTGGTCCCATGGGCCCCTCCTGCAGTCATCCACCCTCACCTAAGGATCCGGTGGAGAGAGCCAAGTCTCAGCTACCCCTGACCAGCCCAGACTGTGATCAGATCACATCAGAGGCTGGAAGAGCTGCTGGGGGCGGGGCCTCCGGCCTGGGGCGGAGCCTCTAGGTGGAGGCGGGGTCGGGTTCCCAGCACGGAGGCGCAGGTGTGAAACCAGCCCACAGGCCCCAGTTTCTTGTGACTTTTCTCAGGGACATCTCTGCCTTCTGGAAGCACAGATTGAGAAGTGTGAAGCAAAACTCTCTTCTAGGCTGCTGTCCCAAATTTAGCTTTTAGGGGTGCAGATCTAGATTGGTGTAGGGCACTTGCCTAGCATGCATGAAGGCCCTGGGTTCAGGATGGAGTCCCAGTTCTCCCTACAAAACAAAACAACAGCAATTTGCTTTCCATCTACCCATTGGTGTGCACCAGGACCACTTCCCCAGAGCAGATCGCTGAACCTTCCAGAATTTTGCAACCCAGTAAACATAGCTGTTATTAAATGAGAGAAAGAGACATTAAATTATACAAACACACAGGTACATAATTTACATGAAATCAAAGGCAATGTCAACATCTATTGCTTTCTGATCCTTTTTTGTTTGTTTTTCCTTTGACATTAGGGGAGTTAATTTATACCATGGAAATTGGCAAAGGGTCCAATTCAAAACTGTTTCCTCCTAGAAACACACTGAGTAAATATTTAGCAGTCTTTTCTGTTTTGCTTTCTTTTGGCCTAATCTTTTTTTTTTTTTTTTTGACTTGGAACTGATCTCAGGCCTTCAATCTTGCAAGGTAGGTGCTATGACTTCAAGTTCTCTTGGGCTTATCTCATTTTACAGGAAGGGTCTTGTGCTTTTTGCCCTGGTCAACTTGAACCATGATTTTCCCACTTATGCTCATCACACACAACAGAGATGGCAGGCATATATCTTCCTTGACCCCATTATTGACTGAGATAGGATCTTATTAACTTTTTGCCTGGCTGACCTAGAACTTTGGTCCTCCCAATTTCTGCATCCTGAGTAGCTGGGATTATAGCCACGACCCACTGTTTGCTGGCCTTGTTGTTTATTGCAGA